TACGCATGATCTCTCATAGTTCTCTGGGAATCCTTTGTCATGCGCATGATGTCTCTCATAGTTCTCTGGAATCCTTTGTCATGCGCATGATCTCTCATAGTTCTCTGGGAATCCTTTGTCATGCGCATGATGTCTCATAGTTCTCTGGGAATCCTTTGTCATGCGCATGATCTCTCATAGTTCTCTGGGAATCCTTTGTCATGCGCATGATGTCTCATAGTTCTCTGGGAATCCTTTGTCATGCGCATGATGTGTCTCATAGTTCTCTGGGAATCCTTTGTCATGCACATGATTAAAGGAAAGATTATATACATTTTTTAAATTTTATTTTAATATGCAGTATATGTATAAAAAATATTATAAAACTGACAGTCACACTGCTCTCTGCTCAGAGTGGACCCAAGAACTGAGGGATCAGTAGTCACGTGATCACTCAGTTCTTGCAGCATCGGTCCAAGTAGGTAAGTACCGTATGTATGATTATTTTTTTATACTCTCGCACTTCTCCTTTAACTTCTCTCTGATCCGATTGCTTAGTCTGAGCTTTCAGTCACACACAGGGAGCGGAATGCAAGCTTTATCTGCTGTGTTGTTTTGTCTTTAGCTACCTCGTAGTTCTCTGGGAATCCTTTTCATACGTGTGTGATGTAAAGGAAAGATTATATACATTTTTATCATTTTATTTGAATATGCAGTAAATATTATATAAAACTGACAGTCACTGCTCTCTGCTCAGAGCGGACCTGAGCACTGAGGGATCAGTAGTCACGTGATCGCTCAGTTCTCGCAGCATCGGACCGAGTGGTAAGTACCATAATTTGTTTATTTTTTTATACTCTCACACTTCTCCTTTAACTTCTCTCTGATTCCGATTGTTTAGTCTGAGCTTTCAGTCAGACAAAGGAGATGGAATGCAAGCTTTATCTGCTGTGTTGGGTCTTTAGCTACCTCATAGTTTTCTGGGAATCCTTTGTCATGCGCATGATGTCTCATAGTTCTCTGGGAATCCTTTGTCATACGCATGATGTCTCATAGTTTTTCTGGGAATCCTTTGTCATACGCATGATGTCTCATAGTTCTCTGGGGAATCCTTTGTCATGCGCATGATGTCTCATAGTTTTCTGGGAATCCTTTGTCATACGCATGATGTCTCATAGTTCTCTGGGAATCCTTTGTCATGCGCATGATGTCTCATAGTTTTCTGGGAATCCTTTGTCATACGCATGATGTCTCATAGTTTTTCTGGGAATCCTTTGTCATACGCATGATGTCTCATAGTTTCTCTGGGAATCCTTTGTCATGTGCATGATGTCTCATAGTTCTTGGGGAATCCTGTGTCATGCGCATGATGTCTCATAGTTCTCTGGGAATCCTTTGTCATGCGCATGATGTCTCATAGTTCTCTGGGAATCCTTTGTCATGCGCATGATGTCTCATAGTTCTCTGGGAATCCTTTGTCATGTGCATGATGTCTCATAGTTCTCTGGGAATCCTTTGTCATGCACATGATGTCTCATAGTTCTCTGGGAATCCCTTTGTCATACGCATGATGTCTCATAGTTTTCTGGGAATCCTTTGTCATACGCATGATGTCTCATAGTTCTCTGGGAATCCTTTGTCATGCGCATGATGTCTCATAGTTTTCTGGGAATCCTTTGTCATACGCATGATGTCTCATAGTTCTCTGGGAATCCTTTGTCATGCACATGATGTAAAGGAAAGATTATTGTCATACATCCATTTTTTTAAAATTTTATTTTAATATGCAGTATATGTATAGAAAAATATATAAAACTGACAGTCACTGCTCTCTGCTCAGAGCGGACCCGAGCACTGAGGATCAGTAGTCACGGGATCGCTCAGTTCTCGCAGCATCGGTCCGAGTAGGTAAGTACCGTATGTATGATTATTTTTTTATACTCTCGCACTTCTCCTTTAACTTCTCTCTGATCCGATTGCTTAGTCTGAGCTTTCAGTCGCGCACAGGGAGCCGGAATGCAAGCTTTATCTGCTGTGTTGTGTCTTTAGCTACCTCGTAGTTCTCTGGGAATCCTTTTCATACGCGTGATGTAAAGGAAAGATTATATACATTTTTTATCATTTTATTTGAATATGCAGTAAATATATAAAACTGACAGTCACTGCTCTCTGCTCAGAGCGGACCTGAGCACTGAGGGATCAGTAGTCACGGGATCGCTCAGTTCTCGCAGCATCGGTCCGAGTAGGTAAGTACCGTATGTATGATTATTTTTTTATACTCTCGCACTTCTCCTTTAACTTCTCTCTGATCCGATTGCTTAGTCTGAGCTTTCAGTCGCGCACAGGGAGCTGGAATGCAAGCTTTATCTGCTGTGTTGGGTCTTTAGCTACCTCGTAGCTCTCTGGGAATCCTTTGTCATGCGCGTGATGTAGAGGAAAGATTACATACATTTTTATCATTTTATTTGAATATGCAGTATATGTATAGAAAAAATATATAAAACCACATTTCAAAAGCCTATCTACTCAAGAAGTAGGCGACAATTATCATGTTCTTTCCAGCCCGTCCTCCGCAGGTGGGAAATGGTAATCGCGCTAATCATTTCCGAAGAATGGATATAGAGAGGAGGATTCTTATTAATAGCCGTGTATAGGTATACATTAATAATGTCCTCGCTGTATAGATCACACTCCCGCAGCAATGCATTATGGATACTCTTGTAATACAAGCATTGTTCCTGTGCTGAGCAGTCCTGGGTTAACGGCATAATATCCCAGAGCAAGACGGGATAGAATCTCATTATTTAATGTCAAGGTTTAGCGGCTGCCGGCGTCCGGAGGATAAGCGTTTTCCGAGGCATTACAAACGGCGTGTTTAGGAAAATTCTGTAATTCTGTAATTCTGTAATGGAAATCTTTCATTACTGCGGAAATAGCTAAATAAATTATTTCTGATTTTTTTTTTTTTTTCTGACCATGGAGAACCAATAAACCAGTCAGTAAATAGAAACATGCTCTCGGGCTATCATGGGAACGGGTTTTCAGCGGGTCGTCAAATTGGTTTCCTCTCCCGCACAACGCTGCATTCTGTGGAAGAGAGCTCCACATGAGGGAAGCAAAGACTGGAAGCCGAAGAAGTTTTGTGAGATATACACTAGATTGCCCCAAGTATCGGGCCACCGGCCTTTCCACGCACTTTGACCTTTAATGGCCCCTCCCAGTCTTAGTCCGTAGGGTTCAATATTGGGCCACGGGCATTTCCACGCACATGACCCTTTAATGGTCTCCCAGTCTTAGTCCGTAGGGGTTCAATATTGGGCTGCACGGCCATTTCCACGCACATGACCTTTATTGGCCCCCTAGTCTTAGTCCGTAGGGTTCAATATTGAGTTGGCCCCGCCCTTTCCACACACTTGACCTTTCATGGTCTCCCAGTCTTAGTCTATAGGGTTCAATATTGGGCTGCTGGCCTTTCCACACACATTGACATTTAATGGCCTCCCAGTCTTAGTCCGTAGGGTTCAAATTGAGTTGGCCCCGGACTTTCTACGCACATGACCGTTAATGGCCCCCCAGTCTTAGTCCCTAGGGTTCAATATATTGAGTTGGCCCCGCCCTTTCCACACATGACCTTTAATGGCCTCCCAGTCTTAGTCCCTAAGGTTCAATATTGAGTTGGCCCCGCCCTTTCCACACATGACCTTTAATGGCCTCCCAGTCTTAGTCCATAGGGTTCAATATTGAGTTGGCCCCGCCCTTTCCACGCACATGACCTTTAATGGCCCCCCAGTCTTAGTCCGTAGGGTTCAATATTGAGGTGGCCCCGGCCTTTCCACGCACATGACCTTTAATGGCCCCCCAGTCTTAGTCCCTAGGGTTCAATATTGAGTTGGCCCCGCCCTTTCCACGCACATGACCTTTAATGGCCCCCCAGTCTTAGTCCGTAGGGTTCAATATTGAGTTGGCCCCGCCCTTTGCAGCTATAACAGCTTCAACTCTTCTGGGAAGGCCGTCCACAAGGTTTAGGAGGGTGTCTATGGGAAGGTTGGGACCATTCTTCCAGAAGCACATTTGTCAGGTCAGGCACTCAGGGGCACTGATGTCGGGGGAGGAGGCCTGGCTCGCAGTCTCTAATTCATCCCAAAGGTGTTCTATGGGGTTGAGGTCAGGACTCTGTGCAGGACAGTCAAGTTCCTCCACCCCAAACTGGCTCCTCCATGTCTTTATGGACCTTGCTTTGTGCACTGGTGGGCAGTCATGTTGGAACAGGAAGGGGCCATCCCCAAACTCTTCCCACAAAGTTGGGAGCATGAAATTGTCCAAACTGTTACCTTAAGAGTTCCCTTCACTGGAACTAGGGGGCCAAGTCCATCCCCTGAAAAACAACCCCACACCATAATCCCCCCTCCACCAAACTGTACACTTGGCACAATGCAGTCAGACAAGTACCATTTTCCTGGCAATCGCTAAACCCAGACACGTCCATCGGATTGCCAGACCAAGAAGCGTGATTGGTCACTCCAGAGAACACGTCTCCACTGCTTTAGAGTCCAGTGGCGGCGTGCTTTACACCACGGCATCCAACGCTTTGCATTGCACTTGGTGATGGAAGGCTTGGATGCAGCTGCTCAGCCATGGAAACCCATTCCATGAAGCTCTCTACGCACTGTTGTTGGGCTCATCTGAAGGCCACACCAAGTTTGGAGGTCTTTAGCTATTGACTCTGCAGGCAGTTGGTGACTTCTGGGCACTGTGCGCTTCAGCATGCGCTGACCCCGCCCTGTCATGTGACGTGGCCTACCACTTGGTGGCTGAGTGGCTGTTGTTCCCAGTGGCTTCCACTTTGTTATAATCCCACTAACAGTTGAGCGTGGAATATTTAGTAGCCAGGAAATGTCACGGATGGACTTATTGCCCAGGTGGCCACCTATCACGGGACCACGCTTGGAGTCACTGAGCTCCTGAGAGCGACCCATTCTTTCACCAATGTTTGTAGAAGCCGTCTGCATGCCTAGGGGCGTGATTGTATACACCTGTGTCCATGGAGGGGATTGGAACCTGAATCACATGATTGGGAGGGGATTGGAACACCTGAGTCACATGATATGGAGGGGATTGGGACACCTGAATCACATGATATGGAGGGGGGGGATTGGGACACCTGAATCACATGATATGGAGGGGATTGGGACAATTGAATCACATGATATGGAGGGGATTGGGACACCTGAATCACATGATATGGAGGGGATTGGGACACCTGAATCACATGATTGGAGGGGATTGGGACACCTGAATCACATGATTTGGAGGGGATTGGAACACCTGAATCACATGATTTGGAGGGTATTGGAACACCTGAATCACATGATTGGGAGGGGATTGGAGCACCTGAATCACATGATTTGGAGGGCTGGCCCATTACTTTTGGCAATATAGTGTATATACAACACCCCTCCCATTGGGGCGGGTCTGTGTCACTATATACATCAAATGGAGTATGGCATCTATAGGACAATATAAACTCATCCCTTTGATCTGGAGATGAATGAAACAGAGTAAATAAAAAATAACAATGTCTAATCAATGTTTATAAACAATGTTACTTTGTTATCTCTCTATCTCACGTTGACTTTATAAACAATGTATCTCTCTATCTCCCGTCTGATCGATGTTTATAAACAATGTTACTTTGTATCTCTCTATCTCCCGTCTGTGTATAATCGATGTTTATAAACAATGTTACTTTGTATCTCCTATCTCCCGTCTGATCGATGTTTATAAAACAATGTTACTTTGTATCTCTCCATCTCCCGTATCGATGTTTATAAACAATGTTACTTTGTATCTCCATCTCCCGTCTGATCGATGTTTATAAACAATGTTACTTTGTATCTCCATCTCCCGTCTGATCGATGTTTATAAACAATGTTACTTTGTATCTCTCCATCTCCCGTCTGATCGATGTTTATAAACAATGTTACTTTGTATCTCTCCATCTCCCGTCTGATCGATGTTTATAAACAATGTTACTTTGTATCTCTCCATCTCCCGTGCTGATCGATGTTTATAAACAATGTGTATCTCTCTATGCCCGTAGATCTGAATGTTACTGTTGTATCTCTCATCTCCGTCTGAATCGTTGTGTATAAACACATGTTACTTTGTTACTTTGTATCTCTATCTCCCGTCTGATCGATGTTTATCTTTGTATCTCTCTATCTCCCGTCTGATCGATGTTTATAAACAATGTTACTTTGTATCTCTCCATCTCCCGTCCTGATCGATGTTTATAAACAATGTTACTTTGTATCTCTCCATCACCCGTCTAATCGATGTTTATAAACAATGTTACTTTGTATCTCCATCTCCCGTCTGATCGATGTTTATAAACAATGTTACTTTGTATCTCCATCTCCCGTCTGTGATCGATGTTTATAAACAATAGTTACTTTGTATCTCTCCATCTCCGTATGTCGATGTTTATAAACATGTTACTAATTTGTATCTCTCCATCTCCCGTCTGATCGATGTTTATAAACAATGTTACTTTGTATCTCTCCATCTCCCGTCTGATCGATGTTTAAAAACAATGTTACTTTGTATCTCTCTATCTCCCGTCTGATCGATGTTTATAAACAATGTTACTTTGTATCTCTCCATCTCCCGTCTGAGCGATGTTTATAAACAATGTTACTTTGTATCTCTCTATCTCCCTGTGCTGATCGATGTTTATAAACAATGTTACTTTGTATCTCTCTATCTCCCGTCTGATCGATGTTTATAAACAATGTTCCTTTGTATCTCTCCATCTCCCGTCTGATCGATGTTTATAAACAATGTTACTTTGTATCTCTCCATCTCCCGTATGTGCATGTATGAATGCGAGTTAGCCCGGGTTCACACTGATACGGTCCAGAATTCGCAGCATTTTCTGTGTGAATTCCTTCACCCCATCAGAATCACGCCTCGTTCATTGCGAAACTATCTGCGGGTGTGTAATAAGTTAAGTTAACAACACCCCAAAATCAGTCTACAAAACACGGTGCGATGTCAGAATCGGGTTAGGTGTGAAATACCCTAGTGCGATCCGATTCTAGTGCGGACCAAAAAAAGGGTCCTGCACCTCCTGTGCTGCGAGTGCGGTGAGATTAGAACCAATACAAAATGTACGACTCCGATCGCACCGCACACAAATCACATGTGATGTGCAGGGAATGCGGCACGGTTCCGGTGTGAATCACATGCGATTTACCGAGCACTGCATGTATGTGAACCTGGGCTTATGGACCTTAGATTGTAAGCTCCTCGGGGGCGGGGACTGATGTGAAATGTACATTATATATGTAAACATGCTGGCACTATAATAATACCACTTTCATTTCGTCCCCCCCCCCCCCGTTGGCTCGATGCATTTCACATGATTCATGTGTTCCAATCCCCTCCAAATCATGTGATTCAGGTGTTCCAATCCCCTCCCAATCATGTGTGATTCAGGTGTTCCAATCCCTTCCAAATCATGTGATTCAGGTGTTTCCAATCCCCTCCAAATCATGTGATTCAGGTGTCCCAATCCCCTCACCAAATCATGTGATTCAGGTGTTCCAATCCCCTCCCAATCATGTGATCCAGGTGTTCCAATCCCCTCCCAATCATGTGATTCAGGTGTTCCAATCCCCTCTCCAAATCATGTGATTCAGGTGTTCCAATCCCCTCCAAATCATGTGATTCAGGTGTTTCCAATCCCCTCCAAATCATGTGATTCAGGTGTCCCAATCCCCCAAATCATGTGATTCAGGTGTTCCAATCCCCTCCCAATCATGTGATTCAGGGTGTCCAATCCCCTCGTCAAATCATGTGATTCAGGTGTTCCAACTCCCCTCCTATATCATGTGATTCAGGTGTTCCAATCCCCTCCAAATGATGTTGATTCAAGTGTTCCAATCCCCTCCCCAATGTGATTCAGGTGTTCCCAATCCCCTCCATATCATGTGATTCAGGTGTTCCAATCCCCTCCAATCATGTGATTCAGGTGTTCCAATCCCCTCCCAATCATGTGATTCAGGTGTTCCAATCCCCTCCATATCATGTGATTCAGGTGTTCCAATCCCCCTCCAAATCATGTGATTCAGGTGTTCCAATCCCCTCCCAAATCATAGTGATTCAGGTTGTTCCAATCCCCTCCCAATCATGTGATTCAGGTGTTCCAATCCCCTCCAAATCATGTGATTCAGGTGTTCCAATCCCCTCCCAATCATGTGATTCAGGCATGTTCCAATCCCCCCCAATCATGTGATTCAGGTGTTCCAATCCCTCCATATCATGTGATTCAGGTGCTCCAATCCCCTCCATATCAAGTGATTCAGGTGTTCCAATCCCCTCCATATCATGTGATTCAGGTGTTCCAATCCCTCCATATCAAGTGATTCAGGTGTTCCAATGTCAAGATTTCCCAAAACCTTATTTTTGTTGGAATTTCAGAGAAAACTAGAACGTTCCATTTTGCTCGTCCCTCAGGAACACGCACAGATCCGTGTTTTGCCTGAAGTCGCAGCCATAAAGAATATATCAAGAACAATGAAAAATTTAAAAAAAAAAAAAGCAACGAACATGACTTTGCGATGTAAAAGAAAAATAAAAGAACGATCGCTGGAAAGAGGCGAAATCTGGTAAGTGAAAGTATCAGCCCCTCCCCCCCCCCCGTTGATTGTTCTTTTATAATAATTATAGCGTGTTGTAACTCCTAATCGCCGCGCACTTCGCCGTCCCTCGCAGCAATCGTTGTTTTAGTGAGTCGATGGAGCAGCTGTGACTGTTCCCCAGACGGAGGTAAAACAAACTTTCACCAATTTTAATGAAGACGGAATTTTACTGTACGACGGAAGCTTTCCATCCAGGAACATTTGTACGCAGAAACGGCGAGGCTGGAATATCGGGACGGGGTTCACTTAGCTGACCTTCTACTAGGGAGGGAGGTCCACGCCTAGGGAGGGAGGTCCACGGCCTAGGGAGGGAGGTCCACGCCTAGGGAGGGAGGTCCACGCCTAGGGAGGGAGGCCCACGCCTAGGGAGGGAGGCCCGCGCCTAGGGAGGGAGGCCCGCGCCTAGGGAGGGAGGTCCGCGCCTAGGGAGGGAGGCCCATGCCTATGGAGGGAGGTCCACGCCTAGGGAGGGAGGCCCACGCCTAGGGAGGTCGGTCCACGCCTAGGGAGGGAGGCCCGCCTAGGGAGGGAGGTCCGCACCTAGGGAGGGAGGTCCACTCCTAGGGAGGGAGGTCCACGCCTAGGGAGGGAGGTCCCACGCGCCTATGGAGGGAGGTCCACGCCTAGGGAGGGAGGCCCACGCCTAGGGAGGGTCGGTCCACGCCTAGGGAGGGAGGTCCACGTCTAGGGAGGGAGGTCCACGCCTCACATCAGGCCTCTCTTCCCCCATACAAATCACATCTGATAGGTAAAAGGTTAGTAAATACCTCATCCCTGGCTTCTGCAGAGTGTGACGTCACTATCCTTCCACTGAGATCCCAGGGAATGCCGACTATCCCAAAATTATTGCCCCTTCAAGATGTTGCAGGAACTGGGAGACAAGCCAGATATACACTCACCGGCCACTTTATTGGGTCCACCTTGCTAGTGCCAAGAAAATCTCCCCCACACCATGACACCACCACCAGCCTGAACCATTGATACAAGGCAGGATGGATCCCCCACATCATGACCCCCCCCCCCACCAGCCTGAACCATTGGTACAAAGCAAGGATGGATCCCCCACACCATGACACCCCCACCACCAGCCTGGACTAGTGATACAAGGCAGGATGGATCCCCCACACCATGACACCCCCACCACCAGCCTGGACTAGTGATACAAGGCAGGATGGATCCCCCACACCATGACACCACCACCACCAGCCTGGACCATTGATACAAGGCAGGATGGATCCACCACACCCATGACACCACCACCACCAGCCTGGACTAGTGATACAAGGCAGGATGGATCCCCCACACCATGACACCCCACCACCAGCCTGGACTAGTGATACAAGGCAGGATGGATCCCCCACACCATGACACCACCACCACCAGCCTGGACCATTGATACAAGGCAGGATGGATCCACCACACCATGACACCACCACCACCAGCCTGAACCATTGCTACAAGGCAGGATGGATCCACCACACCATGACACCACCACCACCAGCCTGAACCATGGATACAAGGCAGGATGGATCCACCACACCATGACACCACCACCACCAGCCTGAACCATTGATACAAGGCAGGATGGATCCCCCACACCATGACACCACCACCACCAGCCTGAACCATTGATACAAGGCAGGATGGATCCATGCTTTCATGTTGTTTACGCCAAATTCTGACCCTACCATCTGAATGTTGCAGTTGAAATCCAGACTCATCAGACCAGGTAACGTTTTTCCAATCTTCTGTCGTCCAATGTTGGTGATCCTGTGTGAATTTTAGTCTCCGTTTCCTGTTCTTAGCTGACAGGAGTGGCACCCGGTGTGGTCTTCTGCTGCTGTAGCCCATCTGCTTCAAGGTTGAACGTGTTGTGCGTTCAGAGATGGTATTCTGCATACCTTGGATGTAACGAGGGGTTATTGGAGTTCCTGTTGCCTTTCTATCATCTGGAACCAGTCTGTCTGCCCATTCTCCTCTGACCTCTGACCTCAACAAGGCATTTCCCTCCACACAACTGCCACTCACTGGATATTTTCTCTTTTTTCGGACCATTCTCTGTAATCCCTACAGATGGTTGTGCGGGAAAATCCCAGGAGATCAGCAGTTTATGAAATACTCAGGACCAGCCCGTCTGGCACCGACAACCATGCCACGTTCAAGGTCACTTAAATCCCCTTCCAGTTTGAACTTCAGCAAGTCGTCTTCACCACGTCTGGATGCCTAAATGCATTGAGTTGCTGCCGTGTGATTGGCTGATTAGCAATTTGTGTTACCGTGTAATTGAACAGGAGGACCTAATAAAGTTGTCAGTGAGTGTAACTAGACCTGAGCCGTCTCCCCCCAGATTTGAGGCCATTTAAAATGAATGGGTCCAAGTCCCTCCACACAGAATCCTATGAATCCTATGTGAATTGCAGAGGAATGCAATGCGTAGTGTGAACCCAGGCTAAACACCCGCAGCAGATTGCCGCACGGAGCAGGAAACACACGGGGAGGGCAGATTGCCGCACGGAGCAGGAAACACACGGGGAGGGCAGATTGCCGCACGGAGCAGGAAGCGCACGGGGAGGGCAGATTGCCGCACGGAGCAGGAAGCGCGCGGGGAGGGCAGATTGCCGCACGGAGCAGGAAACGCACGGGGATGGCAGATTGCCGCGTGGAGCAGGAAACGCACGGGGATGGCAGATTGCCGCACGGAGCAGGAAACGCTAAGGGATCACAGATTGCCACACGGAGCAGAAAACGCACAGAGATCACAGATTGTCGCGCGGAGCAGGAAACGCACAGGGATGGCAGATTGCCGCGTGGGAGCAGGAAACGCACGGGGATGGCAGATTGCCGCACGGAGCAGGAAACGCTAAGGGATCGCAGATTGCCGTGCGGAGCAGGAAACGCACATGGATCGCAGATTGCCACACGGAGCAGGAAACGCACAGGGATCGCAGATTGATGCATGGTCGCAGGAAACGCACGGGGATCGCAGATTGCCGCATGGAGCAGGAAACGCACAGGGATCGCAGATTGCCGCATGGAGCAGGAAACGCACGGGGATCGCAGATTGCCGCATGGAGCAGGAAACGCACAGGGATCGCAGATTGCCACGTGGAGCAGGAAACGCACAGGGATCACAGATTGCCGCACCGCACTTGTGTGACCCGGGGCTCGGTGACAGGTCCTCTTGGATACATTATAACTCCTCCAGTAGGAAGGCACAAAATCGCAGTAAACATCTAGAAGTGAAATCAGGAAAGTTTTCCACAAATACTGTAATGTCGCGGCCGTAAAAGCTCCCGACGTAATGGAGTCGTTCCCCTCCGCGATATTTCAGGCGCGACGTTTCTGCTGGATTTACAGGCGCACGCCGCTCTTCTCTCTGGTTGTCGGCGGAGTATATAAGCCGTCCTTGGATGCAGCGCTCACCTCATACGGTTAACTTCCTGCATTAAAATTCGGCGAAAGTTTGCTTTACATCTGGCCGGGAATAGTCGCAGATGTTCGATCGGCTCACTAAAATAACGATCGCTGTAATGCCGCGCCACCGCCGATGGAAGCCTCTCATTGTAGAGAACAGTCAACGAGCGAGAAAATCACTTCCTTTGAAGGTTTCAGCGGGTTTTGTTTTGTTTTGTTTTACAGCTCTTCTTTTTTTGCCATCTGTGATTTCATTTTTTTGGGAATTTATTTTTTTCATTCGTTATATGATGTTGTGTTGTTTTTGTACCTTAAAAATGAATTTCCATTTTTTTTTTTTTTGAGGTTTAAAAAATATTTATGACTACAGACAGGCTTGGTGCTTCCAATAGGCCAGGGGTAGGCAACCTGAGAGCCGCAGGACTACAAGTCCCATCATGCCTCTGCTAGTCATAGCTGTAACTGTCAGTTTTGTAATCTTTGCAATGCCTCATGGGAAATGTAGTTCCACAACAGCTAGAGAGCCACAGGTTGCCTACCCCTGCACTAGGCAAACTAAGCGGCCACCCGTCTGATCGATGTTTATAAACAATGTTACTTTGTATCTCCCGTCTGATCAGTTTATAAACAATGTTACTTTGTATCTCCCGTCTGATCGATGTTTATAAACAATGTTACTTTGTATCTCCCGTCTGATCGATGTTTATAAACAATGTTACTTTGTATCTATCTCCCGTCTGATCGATGTTTATAAACAATGTTACTTTGTATCTCCCGTCTGATCGGTTTATAAACAATGTTACTTTGTATCTATCTCCCGTCTGATCGATGTTTATAAACAATGTTACTTTGTATCTCTCTATCTCCCGTCCGATCGATGTTTATAAACAATGTTACTTTGTATCTCTGTCTCCCGTCTGATCGATGTTTATAAACAATGTTACTTTGTAACTCTCCATCTCCCATCTGATCGATGTTTATAGACAATGTTACTTTATATTTCTCCATCTCCCATCTGATCGATGTTTATAAACAATGTTACTTTGTATCTCTCTATCTCCCGTCTGATCGATGTTTATAAACAATGTTACTTTGTATCTCTCTGTCTGATCGATGTTTTATAAACAATGTTACTTTGTAT